CTTGGTATGACACTCACGACACAGTTACGAAAGGGTGGACTGATGGTTCGAGAATGTGTACGCCTAACATGCCTGCAAACAAAGGATCGCGACTAATCAATGTGCATTGCGGAGGAAGTAAAAGATGGGTTCCGAATTTTTTGAAATTATATGGAAAAAAACTTGAGTACTGCAATGTTGACTATCATAAGAACATGGAAGCTAATATTTTTGAGGAAGGGTTTGAAAACACTTTGATCCCAAAGTGTAATAGTACTTGACAACGCTTCCTATTATTCGCGACAGCTCATCAAAGTACCGAATAAAAATTCGAGAAAAGATGAAATACAAAGTTTTTTAATGGATAACAATTTGTATTTTGAAGATAACTATACCAAAAACCAACTACTTGGAGTTTTACAGACAAACACATTTGAAAAAGTGTATGCCCTTGAGAGTATTGCTGAAAAGTATGGACACACCATATTGAGACTTCCTCCCTATTTTTGTGTTTTCAATCCCATCGAGTTGATTTGGGGAAAATTGAAACAAAGCATCAGGCGTAAAAATAATTTTCCAAAATTTGATAAGAAGGTGATAGAGCTAGTTAAAGAAGAAGTATCTAATATTACCGAAGAAGACTGGCAGAAAAGGATTAAAAAAGTAATTTTAGTTGAAAAAGACTATATGGAGATTGGACACTTCCATATTAATGGTGGAAATAAATTCATTATTGATTTAAATGACGACAGTGATAGTGAAACAGAGAATATGGAAAAGAAATTATCAGAAGCTTTCGACGAAAGTTAGTGGAGAATGAAGCCTCTACTGAGTAGCGGCTTGATAATGATTGCACGACCAGCTGTCGAAAGCGCTCGCATATAATAAATAGGAGTTATAAAGCTTCAAATCCTTGGTAAATATTCGTTTTGAGGGCACCTGGCGATTTTGAAAAAATGTTTGAGTGTACTTACGTATTTTGCGTAGATTACGAATCCGAAAGAAAAAAGTGGCGCTCTCCCTTATTCACAAAGTTACGGCCTTTCAAAGTTCAGAAATGGCCAAATTTTCAGCCTTCTTTTTCACAAGATAAACTATTTGAAAACACAAGCATTTATTCACTAGGTCACCTTATTCCTTCTTAATTGACACTTTTCAATTCAACAACCAACATTTTTTTCATGAAAAACTTAATTTAAAAACAATGCTTTTTCTGGTGACATTCTTCTATTTCTATGTTAGTTACTAGTGTTATTTCATAAAAAAGCGGTTGGTATTTGCCATTGCCTACTATTTCAAATTCGTAGATTTGGATTTTTAGTTTGACGTAAGTGATAAGAAAAACAGAAAGAATGAAGGCAAAAAACATTTGAATTACTTTAGGAATATTGACAGCATCAGTCGTACCAACTATGCCATCAACCTTAAAAATACATTTTTTAACATTTTTATTGGAAAAATGTTGATTGTTGAAGTGAAACGTGTCAAGAAAGGAGGAATAACGTGTAAAGGTGACCTAGTGAATAAATGCTTGTGTTTTTAAATTTCTTGTGAAAAATAAGGCTAAAAAGTTGCCCTTTTCTGAACTTTGAAGGGCCGTAACTTTGTAAATAATAGATCAGTGTTGAAAAAAATACAACCAGCGAAGTCCCTCAAGGGTGTATTCTGGCCCCTCACTATTCAGTATATACATAAAATACTTTTGAGTTTGAAAAATTGTACAGCAAACCTTTGTACTGATAATTGTAAATTGCAATATTTCTTAGCTGCTGTTCAATTCATTGTATTTCATCAAGCAACTGGTGAATAACTTTTAAAGATACAATAATATATTATAGCTGGAAAAACACATTGAAATATGCTATGATAATATATTAATGTTCTGAATATACAAGTAGTACACATGAATGGGGCAAAAAATGAGGTTGGTATCTGGACATAGAACTTCAATTTTAAAAACACTGTTGCTTCAAAGACATACTGAACTTTGAGACACATTCATTTACTGTTGAAAAAGTACAATAATCAAATCTCAGATTCATTTATTGAAAAAGGAATTGATTATTCATTCAACATCCTGAAATGGTTAGAAAATCAATTAAAGAAATACTATCATAGTGGAAAGATATGTTCCTTCTCACA